CGTTATATACTCGGCGAATGGTAATTCGCAATTGCCTAACTGCGCTACAGTCAGCTGCGCTTTCACAATACGCATTTTTAGAAAGTGTTACACACTTCGAAAAAAAACATATAGAGAAAGCTTGCTTTCTTATTCTATATCAATTGGCATCGTTCTCATTACAAATGGGTTATTACAACATTTGCAGCAACGTTGAACACAAGCTAGTGCAGTCTAATAACACTAGCTAAGATGTACCCTATCCAAGTGGCATTAGCAAGGCGGTTTACTCTGGGGTGGGTGGTGGGAATGTTGAGTGGGCCGTTTGAAAATCGAGAAACGTGGGTGGAGGGAAATGAACTCCAACCCACGGTTTTTGTAGTTGGAGAAGGGCGTTTAGCGCGCTTCGACGATGCCAATTGTGCAGTACAAGCAGCTTCGCTTTCACAATACACAATTTTAAAAAACTCAATGTGTGTTTAAAAATTATAATATTGAGAAAGCTTGCTTTCTGTGCTTGCAATGGCAACGTGCTTCATTACGATTGGGTCTTCTGAGACATGTGTTGTCAGGAGCGTTGAAGACGTCTTGAGTGTAATTGCAGTTGATGATATCGACGACGTGTTGAGAGGAGTGCCGTTGGTGATTGCGATCGCCGTGTTGATGGGGTTCGGAATGTTGTGTGTGTGGAGGTTGCTTGTTCCCTTGTAGGTGTACTGGTTCTTGGTGCTGCAGTATGGTGTGGTTGAAGCTCGTGGTAATTGGTTTTGAGCTGGTGACGATGCTAACGAGCTGACGATGGATAACCAAGCGAACTTGCATGCAAGTGATTTCTATATGACGGATGGACAGCAACTACGTTGATGCTGAATGAGTTTTATTGTCATGTTCGCAGGTGGTCGCTAGAACACGCAAGACGACAAAACTGCCATGGAAGCATGATATTTTGTGCACGATCAGCATGATGAGGAATCGCATGCAACTAAGGTAGGAGACTGGATGGCTTGGGAGGAATGGGGCGCCAGAGTTGCGCTACGAAGAGTATCGTATGAACGCTAGTCAAGTATATCCAAGCGCTACCGTAGGAGTTTCATCCCTATCGTTGTTCGGGAGACGATTTAACTTCACGCACCCGATAATTCGATGTATAGCAGCGCTCTGTCATCATACCATTCGCTTGTCTCCTTTGCCCTACAGTTGTCATGACAAATATCTGCGATCATCGGCTAGTGCTTAGCTCATTCCTTCAGTTCTTAGGTAGAGTTCTGTAGCGCAGGTACGGTATGTGGTCGAGCAGATAGTACCGTAACAGTTCCTGGTGTGTCAAAAACGGTTTTGAGAATCTGACCATCAATGGTATCAGCAATAACGATGACCTTAGCACCTCCAAAGTACTATATGGCCATGCCGGGCCCAATGGTGTGCTTGCTTGGCCAACTCAACAACGGCCGCACGCAAATGGGAGAGAGTTTGGGCAATGTGTTTTCATGTTCAACGCATTGTGCGTGCGTCCAATCCAAACATCTGTACGGACTCTTCATCCCCCTCTCTCACTTGACCATAAAACGGCATAGTAATAAGAAAATGTGCTTTCACGTTCCTATTTTCTCATGGTCAAAACAACTCTTGCTACCACTGCTTTCATTGATCTACACATTTCAATGGATGATGACTCTGCTCAGCAACCAAACTCTTATAAATCTCGATTATAAGGCCTCAGCACATGTCATACTAGCCTCCCTTCCGTGGGGAACAACCCTCTAAACGTTAGGAACCTTCTGCCCCTTTCCCCCCCTGGGAGACGGCCCTCTGGCCAGCAACGGGACCTTCGGTCCTTTTCCCCCCTGGGGAACGGCCCTCTGGCCAGCAACGGGACCCTCGGTCCCTTTCCCCCCTGGGGAACGGCCCCTCTGGCCAGCAACGGGACCCTCGGTCCCTTTCCCTCCTGGGGAACGGCCCTCTGGCCAGCAACGGGACCCTCGGTCCCTTTCCCCCCTGGGGAACGGCCCTCTGGCCAGCAACGGGACCCTCGGTCCCTTTCCCCCCCTGGGGAACGGCCCTCTGGCCAGCAACGGGACCCTCGGTCCTTTTCCCCCCTGGGGAACGGCCCTCTGGCCAGCAACGGGACCCTCGGTCCCTTTCCCCCCTGGGGAACGGCCCTCTGGCCAGCAACGGAACCCTCGGTCCGTTTCCCCCCTGGGGAACGGCCCCTCTGGCCAGCAACGGGACCCTCGGTCCCTTTCCCCCCTGGGGAACGGCCCTCTGGCCAGCAACGGGACCCTCGGTCCCTTTCCCCCCTGGGGAACGGCCCTCTGGCCAGCAACGGGACCCTCGGTCCCTTTCCCCCCTGGGGAACGGCCCTCTGGCCAGCAACGGGACCCTGGGTCCCTTTCCCCCCTGGGGAACGGCCCTCTGGCCAGCAACGGGACCCTCGGTCCCTTTCCCCCCTCGGGAACGGCCCTCTGGCCAGCAACGGGACCCTCGGTCCCTTTCCCCCCTGGGGAACGGCCCTCTGGCCAGCAACGGGACCCTCGGTCCCTTTCCCTCCTGGGGAACGGCCCTCTGGCCAGCAACGGGACCCTCGGTCCCTTTCCCCCCTAGGGAACGGCCCTCTGGCCAGCAATGGGACCCTCGGTCCCTTTCCCCCCTCGGGAACGGCCCTCTGGCCACAAACGGGACACTCAGTCCCTTTCTCCTTTGGAAACGTTGTGGGTGTCAAGACGGTCGTCCTTGCGAGGGTGTAAACAATGGTGACCTTTATGCCAAGCAATCGCCTCGCACCTCGTTCACTGCATTAAGATCAAAAGCCAAATAAAAGAAAATAGAAACGGGATGCATATGCAAAAACGAATTTCAGCACATACTTGTTTAGCGATAGAGTAGTTGTCACTGCAGGGGCGCCCTTGTAGTTTCAGGCGCGCCCAAGGCGCAGGCGCGCCCGTGGCGCTTTCGTCTTGTGGCGCGCCATTTCGTCCTCTAGCGCGCCCATGGCGATTTCGTCCTGGGGCGCGCCATTTCGTCCTGGGGCGCGCCATTTCGTCCTGGGGTGCGCCAGGGGCGATTTCGTCCTGGGGCGCGCCATTTCGTCCTGGGGTGCGCCAGTGGCGATTTCGTCCTGGGGTGCGTCAGTGGCGATTTCGTCCTGGGGTGCGTCAGTGGCGATCTCGTCCTGGGGTGCGCTAGTGGCGATTTCGTCATGGGGCGCGCCATTTCGTCCTGGGGTGCGCAGTGGCAATTTCGTCCTGTGGCACGCGATTTTGTCCTGGGGTGCGCAACTGGCGATTTTGTCCTGGGTTGCGCCAACGGCGATTTCGTCCTTAGGCGCGCCTGTGGCGATTTCGTCGCTAGGCAAGCGCCAGTGGCGATTTCGCCTAAGGCGCGCCCGTTCAAATTCTCCGCTTATCCTGAGATCGTGATTCACATTACAGTTGCAGAAAAAAAGATTGGCATAGGATGTAAATGAATATGAAATTAGAGCATCCGAAACATTCTGCACTACTCGCATCCATTCCCAAATCTCCACACCATCTCATTTTCACCCATCTCCCTCCCATTCATCCATCTCCCTGCCATTCACCCAAACTCCCTACTGTTAGTGAAGGGCCTACTAAAATCAAGCTATTAAGACTTTATCAAACTTAAAACCTCTCTTCGGGGTCACCTCCAAGGGTCCTTGGGTGCCTGGTACAAGACCAGCCCCTATCCTCGGATTCGAGTTTGTAGAGAGAGGAGTCAAGAATGACTTAGCCAAAATAACAAGAGTGCCTTGAACGTCACGCAGCGTATCGTGCAGACCGTCGATCGGATTAACCTGAGAATTTCCTATATCGAAGCTCGCTCCAAGAGCTTTAAAATGAGCCAAGTTGCCTCGCGAAAAGTTCTGCCATTACGACGTTATGGCTCGGACAGCGTTTGCCTAGTATTGGAGTGCTAGCGTACTGGCGTTGACTCGGGTAGCATTCCGCCGTTGCACCGCGTAGAAACGAAATTCCAGGAAGGGAGGAATTCGACAATTTCGAGTTGGATAGAACTGAATCTGCACAATCAATTCAACCGAACCGCAAAGCTTCCATCTTGGGTTCCTTTGCGAGCTCGTCCTTTCTGCTTGTACTGTTCATAGCACGTACAATGTTGTGCCGAAGCGCACAATGCGCGAGTACCTGCAAATGCTTCAAGCGAAAATTGCGAAAGCAACCAAACACACGAACATTCCATTCACACCCAAATGCATTCGCACACGCTTACTCGTACAAACAGACGGCAGGATGTCGTGCAATGTGAATTTGCACCCAACACCTACCTCTCACCTATCTCCCTGCCATTCACCCATTTCCCTCCCATTCACCCATTTCTCTGCTATTCACCCGTTTCCATGTCATTCATCCAACTCCCTGCCATTCACCCATCTCCCTCCCATTCACTCCTTACCCTGAGCAGGTTAGTAGAGAGGAGGGAAAGTAGCGGAGAGTGAGAGAAGGCTGACAGGGAGGGAGGAAGGACAGGGATAGGGAGATAAGGTTTTTTTGAAAAGTGGGGTGCCGACGGATCCATTATCATTGGAATCAACACGTGGCTTTTTTTTTTGCGAGGGGGTGAGAGGGTGTGAGAGTGTGTGATGCATGATTACGCTGCTGCAATTCTTCATGACCAGTGACCCATGATCATTGAAATCTCGTCGCTGTTTTTTACCATGGTACCTAAGCGGAGGGTATTTCCATGGTACCTGAGCGGAGAGTTTTGTTGCATCACATCCCAGTGCTTGGAAAGCCTGGATTAGTTACAGTAGTGCCTGCATGTCATTGCTACTATTTTGGTGCCTCAAAAGCTTGAATGACAGTAGTGAGCGTGACTCTTTCCTTTTCACCCTCTCACTGACTTTCCACATATATTTTAATTTTCTTTCTTTCTTTCAACCATTATAGTCAGGGGTTTTGCACCATGTGTTTCAGCATGCTTGTCCTCATGTCATAACACATGTCGATCTGGCAATCCTGTGTTTTCCTACCCTCCATGATTGATCCCTATTCATTCTCCTGCTTGAACCCATTTGTTCCCATTTTCCAACACTGTACTACAGCCCAAACTCACACCACCACCACCACGCACTACCGGAAACACTGCCGCCCGCACCACTGGCACCATTGCCACCCACCCCTTTGCCGCCCGAGCCACCAGTGGCACTGCCGCCCATAACACCATTGCTGGAAATGTCCACCCACACCACAGGCTCCTCTTTTGCCCCGCAACACCGATGACTCTGCACCCAGTGCCACTGGCACTTCTGCTGCTGGCACCAACACCAGCACTGAAAGCCCACACTAATAGCATCCTTGCCGCTCGAAAGCGACACCGCTTCTGCTCGCACCACAGGGGCACCACTCCCACCCACATTGTTAACAACACCACTGTTGCCCACACGCGCCCCACCAACAAAATCACTGCTTTCCACACCACCAGCACCAGTGCCACCCGCACTTACGGCACCACTATTGCCAATGCCACCGCCACCACTGCCACTTGCATCACCAGTACCACCGCCGCCACTAGCGGAATGGTCCATTTGCAACTAATCATTTGAGCACCAATGCCTGTACCAATGGAGGTGAGCACTGATCAAAAGCGTTGGTTGTTGCATGGACGAGCACACGGAGGGGGATGATTATGGTGGTGGTGTGTGCTGGTGTAGAGTTGTTCCGTGTGTGGCATGGGAGACAATGTATTGCAAGACAATGCTGAAAAGAAAGTTGTAGGGGCAGGCATGGCAAGGTTGAAGTGAAATGAAAAGACATCCTCTTATGTCCCTCAGGCTTTCATCACTCAGTGCACGTAGGTCTCCTTACTTGAATGCGTTCATCAACTCATATGGATGCGGAGCCGTTACTTGTGACTCATCTTTGCAACTTCTTGCTGCTGCTGCATTCTGTTCAACGTTTCCATCACATCTGAATCACTCTCCCATCACAACCCATCTCTTTCATTCCTCCTAGGACCTCCCTCCTCTCAGCTAGAATCACGGATGGTGCATGGAGCTCGTTGCTCAAGTGGAGACTGGCAGGCACTCGTTCAGGTACTCACTCAGTGCATGGAGCCCCAGTGTTCAAACCCATTCTGATCCATGGTCAACCTGTGCTCAACGCTCGAATAAACAAATGTTCAACTCATAATAAGGTACACTGAAACTGGAACCATTCTTTGATCGAGACACATATGTGCGCCTCACTGTCCCACGTTGCTTTGGCCATCGTACTTGCAGCCTAACTACAACTTGAGGCCTAAATGCAAGATGTGTTCTGCAGATAAGGAGAGAGTGCCAGCCACTTGAATACTTCCTATTCAGCCTCCAGATCCTCCGATTCTATATTGTCCCCCATCCCTATCACACCTCCCCATCATTGCGTTCCCCAACCTCTTCCTCTTTATCTCAATCCTCAGCATCCCCCTGTTTCCCACTCCCCAATTCTTGATTGCAGGGAGATGGGTGGATGGCAAGGAGATGGGTGGATGGCAGGGATATGGGTGGACGGCAAGGAGATGGGTAAATGGAAGGAATATTTTGGGATACGCTTTTTGGCCGTGCCAATATCAGCCCATATTGGGATAGGCTCGTGTTACAGCCAGGCGACTCCATCCACCATGACTCGAGCTTCTTCCCGTGCTGGCATCTTATATGCCATTGTAGCTTACAAAACTGGCATTACTATTATCTATACGACTAGAGCTTCTACCGTCCACACTACTGGCACCGTTGCCACCCACTCTTTCCCCCCCCCCACATTATTGGCACCACTGCCGCCTGCATCACCAAAACCATTGCCAACCGCATCACCAGAAGCACTGCCGGTTGCATTACCACTGGCACCATTAATACCCGCATCACCGCATTCATGACCACACTACCAAAAACCACTGCTAACAGAGTTGCTAATGTCCACATTGATAGATCCTCTGCCGCCTGCGCCGAAACCTTTGTTTTCCGCTCCATCGCTACTACTGCTGCCCTGCACCAACATCATCCTTACTAGTCGCACCAGAGACAGGGTGGCTCATAACGGAACAGCAGCTGCCTCTCGCATAGAACAGCATGGAACAGTATCGGTGCTAACAGAACACCTACCACTAAAGGTGAGCATCACGCATGTATAGGCGTGCTTGCAGGCATTTGCACATGGAAGCACATGTTAGAGCTATGAAGGAATGAACTGAATTAGTTCAAAAGGGGAGGTACAAGTACAAGGACGAGAGAATTACTGTACCCCTTAAGGCTAAACCCACTACGGCCTAGATAACAGTAAACATATATTTGATGCACCCCCATAGGCGAAGTGGGAGATAGCCAGAGAAAACAATGGTCACAAGAGCAGTCAAGAGACAAAGCAAAGCAAAGACCAAGGTGAATCTCAAGGACACCACACATTTCGAGCACAAGCAAGCGGCCACAAGGCCAATTCACATGCTAAGTTTATAATAGCAAGAGCAGTACACTGATCACAACCCAGCAAGTGTAAGCATGCAGGTATACTCGTATATATCAGTGTACAACAAGGGCAGGGCAAGATCAAGAGATAAGCAGGTGAGGCAGAGTGGGCACAAGCCCAAGAGCAGTGCAAAAACGCTGATGATCACCATACCCAAGGGCCTTGGTGAAGACATCAGCAGTGTAAGCCTGTATGGCCACGTAAGCAAGAAAAAAGCTGACCACGCTGCTGCAGCTCTCGCGTGAGGAAGTAACTGAGAGCAATGTGCTTCGTTCAGTGCTTCAGTCTCTGGTCCTCACACAAGGCAATCATTGCCTTGTTGTCAACGTACAGAAGCGGAGGAGAACGAGGCCGCTCACCCAAGTCGGTCAGCACGTAGGTCAGCGAGCGGAGCTCCTGCGTAGCCATGCCCCAGCGTATTCTCGGCCTCACAGCTAGAACTAAGTACAGAAGACGAGCGAGTGGACCTCCACGAGACAGAACCAGCTCCGAGGCTGGAAGTGTAACCCTGTGTTGACCGGTGAGTCGTCTGGTAGTCAGCCCAAGAAGCGTCTGAGTGAACGGTGACAACAACTGAACCCTGTCCTCCAGGCACAAGCCCCATGCCCAATGCACTGCACAAGTAACGCAACACCCTCTTCGCAACTTCCCAGTGCACCTTTCGGTGTCTACCGGGAGCCACGTAGCGAGCCACAAGGCTGAGAGGGTACGCGAGGTCAGTCGCGTGCACGTCATCAGGTACATGAGGCAACCCACAAGCTCTGAATACGGACCACTCGGCTCTACGGACTCGTCCGAAGGTTGAGCTAAGAGCGAGTGGCTCGTAGGCAGAGGAGTGGCTGTGGCAAGGAGAACTGGAAGCTAAATCGCTGAAGGATCTACTGCACCATGTGTGACTGAGTCAGGGTGATGGCGCGTCGTGCTCTGTCCCGGGTGTCGTCCTCAGAGTGGCGTGCCACTCACGGGGCGCCTGGCGCAGACCGTAGACTGGTCGCTGGAAACTCCACTGGGTACCCTCAGCAAACGACCTAGTGAATCCAGGTGGGCGGCGCAACCAGATAGCCTCGTAAAGCCTGCCCTGCAAGAAAGCTGTCGAGAAGTCGAGGGAGTGCAGCTCGTAGTCACGCTGTGCTCCAACGTGCAGTAGCACCCAAAGACCTGGTCATCTTCGGGGTGGGGGAGAAGGTTTGGAAGAGGTTTACTCCCTCACGCTGACTGAAACCTCGTGCAACGTAACGCGCCTTGAAGGCAGGCGAAGAAACCCGGTGGCCGCTTCACCCTGAAAATTCACAAGCCATCGACTATGTTCGCCCCAGGTGGGGGGAATTGCGTCGGCGTAGGTGCCTGTGGACTTCCAGGAAGCCATCTCTACATCCATGGCTTATCTGCCACTGAGAGGAGTACGGACCCGTGATTGCGTTTGCATAAGAACATGGGGTCGGGATGTATAGTGCATCCGGGTCTCCCTCAGGGCAAAGTAGCGTGGACGCGAGATGAGGTGCAGGGGCCGCTAGGCACTCCAACTCAAACTGCCTGTCCTCAAGGACGTCACAGCCAAGGGCAAGCTCACCCTCGACGGACGGAGGACAGAAAGTGTCAAAGACAAGACTCGCAGCGTAGTCAAGGCAGCACAAAGCAGCAAAGTGAACAAGCTTAGCAACTAAGGCAACAAGCAGCAGCAGACTGAAAGGAGGGGTCAGTCTCAACTGTGGCAAGAAGACGAGTGACAGTCCGACTGGCAGCACGGACAAGGTCTGACTCTGGGTTAGGAACGCGAGGAATAGAAGATGCGGGAGGCGTCGAAAGGACAACACGCTGTGGAACATAGGAAGGACGAAGTGCCATGCTGTGCGTGCCAGGGACAGGTGGAGGACGAGGACACACAGCACGGCGAGAACGGGCAGGTGTGACAGGATGCCACACAGGGCTCTCTACGCTCAGTGAAGGACTCTGTCACCATAGTGAGTGGAGCAGGAGGAGGCAGTGGGGAGTGAGGCAGTAGCTGTGGCAGAGACCGGCAGGCGGTGGAAACAGTAACGGAGGGGTAGTGCCTGCAACAGGGAACTTAGTAACAGCAGGCGCTAGACTGAGGAAGGTGACTAAGCGCAGACTAATGCAGCTAAGTAGTTGCACCTCCAGAACCTCCAGCTTCAGTAGCAACAGCACCCCCGGAGCCTCTACCTCCAGCTCCACCACCGAAACTGCCCCAACGAACAGCCCACTTGCGAAGTTGCTGCGGCGAGAGTGACTCCTGCCAACTAGCACCACCAACTCCAGCACATCCAGTAGCACCTCCAGTGTCGGCACCGCCAATACCCCCAACTCGCAGAACAACGGGACTAGCACCTAAGGGCCAGTACCTCCAGTACCTCCAGCAGCACCTGTGCCTCCAGTACCAGTACCTCCAGCACGGCCAACACAAGGAAAACCAGCACTAGCACCTCCAGGGCCAGCGCCTCCAGAACCTCCAAAAGCACCTGTGCCTCCAGTACCAGTACCTAGCACTGTGAAAATATAATGAATTGACTAGAATAGAGAATGACAAGGAAGATATATGCAAACCCTAGCCAATCCTAAGCATGAATGTACACCACCTAGACTAATAACTAGAAGCTATAACAAATATAGCTTGACACACCCCCATATTTTAAGTGACGGTAGTCCTATGAAAAGCAACACACAGCAAGGGTCACAGTACCAGTCAGCAAGAAACAAGCAACGGTCACAAGACCAGTTCCCAAGAACACAACAGATCTCGGGGTGGATCTCAAGATCACCACATGGTCCGAGAACAAACAAAGGGCCACAGGGCCACTCCACATGTAAGGACATATAGAAGATGCAAATGTACAAGACAAGCATGACAAGCATCGCTACGGAAACAATTGGCCACAAGGCCAGTCCACAAACAGATATATAGCAGATATAAGAGATTCAAGAGTACAAGACAAAGCATCTCTACGCAAGCAAGTGAGGGCATGTAGACACGAGGCCAAGCTGGGTGCGAAAACGCTGGTGGTCACAAGGCGCAACGCCTTGGTGAAGATATCTGCAGTGTGGGCCTCAGAGACCACACGTCGCACGA